CCAGGTCTCCCACATGGGTGCAGGGGCCCAAGTACTTGGGCCATCCTCTACTGCTTTCCCAGGCCATTAGCAGGGAGCTGGATCGGAAGAGGAGCAGCCGGGACACAAACCAGCGTCCATATGGGATGCAGCACTGCAGGCAGCGGCTTGGCCCTCTGCGCCACAGTGCGGGCCCCGTGTTTACACTCTTCATCACCACAGACACATGAAATTTGTTTTTAATGGTTCAAATCATGTATTTTACATGAAAAATCAAAAAGCTTAAAGAGACATTGAAATTATCCTGATGAAAAGGCTAACTGAGGGAACGTCTAGGATGGTCAACACCTTTCTGAAGAATCAGCAAGTCAGCACTGCGGAGGCAGCGCTGGGCACACGGACCTCGGCCCCGCAGAGCCAACCTCGCAGTGAGAATGGAGTGATGTCACCAGCTTTGGAAGGTCAAGGCCCTGGCTCGCCCCCTCCACTCCGTGTGCTTGCCCCAGCCTCTCAGGCGTCTCCACACTCCGAGCACCAGGCCCCTGGCCCGTGGCCGTCGTCCCTACCTGCTCTGCGACCTTGGCCACCAGCAGCCCCTGCACAAGCTGGCTCTGGCCATTCCGGGTGTCCTGCAGGCCGGGAGGCCCCCGACTGGCGCACGCGGGGTGGGAGGACGGCAGGCTCTTTTTGGACCCACAGACTCCACATTAGGAAACCAGGTACTCAAGGAAGACAAAACACATTATCCTAACGGCAAAAGCAAGCCCCAGGGAGCTACCACGCTGGCAGGGAAGCTCTCCGAGATGGACCTCAGGGTTTATAAGGATTCATCGGCTACCACAGAGCTAGAGAAAAATCACATTTCTCTCAAAATGGTGCTCAGACTGAGCCGAGGGGAAAGCCTGGACTGTTCATTTATGAATTCCCAAGGTTGGCCCCAGCACATCAAGATGCCTGGGCGCAAAGGTCCCTGCCCCGGGTTTCTGGTTCACCCGGCGCCTGGGCGGTCCCCACGTGGCTGCTGCCCACAGTCCTGCAGCATCCACCAAGGAATTGGTCCAAAGAGGAAGCAGCGGGGGCTGCACTCCTTGACTGCTTTGCGCCGGCTGGGCCCGCAGTGCTAGCTTCGAGGGAGAGGGCCCCAGGGACAGGGGCACCCGCACCGGAGCAGGTGCCTGGGGACCCTCGCGGCTGTCTGCGGCCGCTTCTCCAGGTTCTCCCCTCACCGCTAATCCTTAGGGGCAGCCACACTTCGGAAGCCTTTGCTCCCAGACCCCGACTTTCCCACAGGGAACGCTCTGCCTGGCTCTTGCCTCCCACGTGACTCAGGAGGCAGCTGCGCCTTCAATGCATTGTTGCAGCTCAGCGGAGCTGAGCCGATTTCTGGACTAACGCACATGGCTTCGTGCTCTGTGGCCTGGGATGACCTTGCATAGCAACCAGTTCTAAAAGACTCCAGGTGGCCTACACACCTCCCAGGCCACATGGGTAGGGGAGTGAGGGAACTTGGGAAGCCAGAGCTGGCTGTTGCTTGTCCCTGCCTGGCTCTGGGAAAACCGGGAGCTATTTCCCTGCCACGGAACCCAGAGCCATTCGAGCACGCCCCGTAGCACCACAGGACTCCTGCTGTGGTCCTGGTCAGTCCAGACGCCGAGGGGTGGATGCTGCAGCGCCAGCAGCACCACGTGGGAAAGTCTGCCACAGCTCGGTGTGGAGAAAACCAGCTCCACATGCAGTCAGCTCGCCCCGCACACAAGGAGGCGTGGCCAACGGTCCTGACTGTGCCAGCACCACTGTGTGAGCCCTGGGCTGAGCTGGACACAGTCCTCAGCTGGACACAGACCTGTTCCCTGGCCCCCTGTGTGTTGCAAATATGCAGGGCCAAGGGCAGTGGTGGGCACATGGTGGTGGGCACATGGTGGCAGCTACGCTAAGGCTTCAGCAGAGAGATCGGGGTGGGAAACCCCCAGAGGACACCCAGGGACTATGAGGTTGCAGGCAACAAAGGGCACAACAAACCCATTGGTCCCGTTCGTCACTCACCCACAGGGCTAGAAAAGACAACAGTGCTGGCCCAGGAGAAGAGCCCATTAGGAAAACAGAGCCAGCCAGAGAAAAGGCCGAGAGACGCTTCCAGCTTGCTCCTAACCGGGCAGCTACAGGCATGTTTCTGGCGCGATCCCGTCCTACGGGCCATGTTTCCAGGTCTTGGGTGTTAATATTCGGTCTCGGTTCTGCTCAAGGACTTCCAGCATTTTCTCCATGTTGTGGTCGGCCTCTATCACCTGCAAATCAAACACCATGGCATGGGGCTGCGCTGACTTCAACATTCTCCTCCTTCCATGGCCAGAGACAGAAGGTGGAGGCAGCCAGGTGAGGCAGGGAGAGGGAACCCGAGGGGGAAGGCAGATGGGAGGGGAGCTTAGAGCCCCGCGGCTCCCAGCTCCAGCTCCAGCCAGCCCCTTACGATCCCGACTTTCCCCGCAGCTCCCAGCTCCAGCCAGTCCCCTTACGATCCTGACTTTCCCACTTAGGCATCTGCCGCACGTGTCCCTGCAGTAGGCTCAGGAGTGGGGTTTTTCTCATCATTTTACACCCTCCAGCTTTTCTTTAACACTGAGAGGGAAAAAGATAAATTGAAGGAGGGGTCTTCAAAAAGTCCGTGGAAAATGGTGCTATGAGAAAACTGCACGGATTTCCAAAATGAGCTCATCCTGCCACTCCATTTTGCCAGACTTGTTTGTAAACCCACCATGGTGAGCACCTCACGCGCATCAACCTCACTGCCAGTGGCAGTGTCGTGTTAGCGACCCTATCGCCAGCACTGGCGCAGTGCACAGAGCGCCCTGTCCCACACTGCGTGTGCCAACAATCTAAGGTACCCAACGGCCCACAGAGAGAACTCTGGGAGCAGCCAGTGAGAAAACCGGGGGCGGGAAGGGAGGGAATGCTCATGGGCAGACACATCGCAGCAGTTAGAAAGGACACGTGGCGGCAAGAGAGAGGGGGGACTCTCCACACCAAATGCACGCACCCAGGCCACCACTTGGGCACCTCCCTAAGGCCTCGGTGCCCAGGCCACAACCTCGGCACTTCCCTAAGGCTTGGCACCCCAGCCACCACCTGGGCACCTCCCCAATGTCTCGGCACCCCAGCCACCACCTGGGCACCTCCCCAATGTCTCGGCACCCCAGCCACCACCTGGGCACCTCCCTAAGGCCTCGGCGCCACAGCCCCCAGCAGTACTGCACATCCCTCCTGATGCCCCTGAGTCACCGAGCAAGGGGACGTGAGGCTCTGTGTCACCACATCAGAGGGCCCACACCCCAAACCCCTGGCCAGAGGCTGCCGGCTTCTGGAACACTCCTTGGCTGACCACGCTGGACAAGGGACATGGCACTGCATTCAGCAGGTGTCACAGCCTTGGGACAGGTGTCGTTGGGCTCCTCTCAGGTCTGTCCAGAAACAGGGACAGAGAGACAGGAGGAGCCCTTCCCGCCTTGCTCCTCCCGAGTTCCCCAGGGCTGCTGGACTCGGCCCTCCCCCTGTCGCGAAGTGCTGATGCTCCCTGGGTCACTCCTCCTGGAACCGTCTCCTGCCCTGCAAGGGAGACCAACCTACCAGAACAGGGGCTGCCAGGGGGAAACGGCTTCCTGTGACGAGCCACTCCTCGTAGAGGCGGTGAATGGCGTTCAGGTACTCCTGCCGGAAGCACGGGAGCGCCCTGTCAGGCAGGGAGGGGAGCAAAGCCCTCCCACCAGGGGTCGCAGGCAGGGCGGGGGAAGTGTCCGTGACCACAGAGCAAGGACTTGGACAAAGGGACCCACAGCAGCCAAGCGGGCTGCGGTGCGGCGCAGTGAACGCAGCTCCATGGGCCAGTGTGGGCATCACCTCGGTCAGAAGCATCACCAGCCCCTCGGCTCTGCCCCACTGGGTCTCCCCTGAGGACAGGCCCTTCCCCAGGGCCTCACAGCCGCATCTGCAGGCAGGAGCCTACACCTGGCTTTGCCACACCTCCACTGCCAGGCCCTGGCTCCGCCACGGCACAGTGATCCACAGCTGTGCCTATCTCAGCTCTGGGAGGCCTTGCAGCCTTCTTGCGGTCTTGCCCCCAGGAGGACTGTGGCCACAAAGCCCTTGCCCAGCCTGTCTGTGGACCTCCAGGGCATTCAGTGCGATGTTAACTGAGTGACGACTGGTTGCCAGGCTGGGGGACAAGTGCTGGGACACAGAGGGGATGGGATTTGAATGGGACGAGGAATGGAGGCCTAAGCAAACAGCATCAGTGCTCGGTCCTGAAGGCTCTGATCTCAATCAGCCTTGTGGTGGGAGAGAGGGGTGTCACATTGGGGGAAGATTAAGGAAGGCTTCCTGGAGGAGCTGGCATAGGAACTGAGCCTTAAAGGCAAAGGAAACACTGTGCAAAGGCACATTGGCTTAACCCCATGGTTCATGTGTGGCCACATGCAGTTCCTTATGGCCAGGGCATGGAAGGCAGGGGTGGTCGGAGCGAAGGCCAGACAGGCACCTGGGGCGGGACGTATGGGGTCTTGTGTGTTATACTACGAGGAGGGGGATTTCATCTGAGACAGGGTGCTGAAGGGTCTGGGCCAGGCAATCACCAGCGTGGTGTCCATGGTGGAAACACCACCCACCCAAGCAGCAGCCGGGGGCTGGACTGCCAAGGGGGACGTGGCGGGTGGACAGTCCAGGCCAACCCTACAGCCCCCGTGCGAGTCGGTGTGGCCCTGAGACAGACTCAGCCAGGCGTCCCTCCATGCCGGCTTGGTGCAGGGCTCCGGGGAGGGCGGGCTCTTCCCGAGTGACGAGGCAGAGGAGGGCAGGAGGCCGCGGAGAGGAGGCCCTGGCAGGGGCTGCTGGAGCCCGAGCCGGGGACGGGAAGGGAGGCAGACGTGGACACCCACGAAGTCAGAGAGCCTCCTCCCACACACAGCTCTGGACAAGAGCTCAGGGCGGTGCCGCAGGCGGGCTGGGGCCGGGGTCCCAGGGGGCCTGGAGTCAGAGGCCTCTTACCAGTGGAATGACCCTCTCCTCTTCCCTGCATCTCATCTTCAGCCTCTGGTAGCAGGTCTCAGGAGTGGTCCGCAGATAAACTGCCGTGAGACACACACGGAGCCCCGGTTACTTTGCTGTGGGCTCAGACGGCAGAGCTGGGTCGGGGGGAGGCCGTGGGCAAGGTGTGGAGAGAAGCCCCTGCCCCAGCTCAGCTCTCCATGGACCACCGGCCGGCTGGGCGGCCCAACAACCACCTCCTGTCGCCTTGCCCTGTCACCAGCCCCAGAGGGTGATTCTGTACTAGACAGGGCCTGGCACACAGCGGGTCCCAGCAGGCGTCCTGGCTCTGTCCCTCTCCACTGTGCAAACCAGGAAAGCCTACTCCATCCCAGTGAGTTCCGCTGTGAGGTGGCTGCTACAGGAGAGGGCACGTGAGGTGCAGAGGCCAGGGCCCTGCCCCCACAGCTGTGCCTGCCCTTGGTGAGGGCTGAATTAATGGGGCAAGGGGTCACTGGCACCAAGCTCCCCACCCCTGGTCCTGGCAGGCAGGCAGGGGCCGGCTCACCTATCAAATCAACGGAGACGTCCATGTTCCTCCCGATCCAGTCAAACCACTCGGAGAGGACCACGTAGTCCACCTCAGGCATCTTCCCGCTGCAAGGAGAGGTGTCAGGGCATCACCGCCTCGGGGCGAGCCTCTGGCTGCGCCATCCCCCGAGGGGTTCTGGGTGCTCTCGGTACATGGGTGTTGTGGAGAGCACCAGGACAGCGCGTTCCTCGTCCGCCCCCCACCCTCCACTGCCTGGGGTGGCTGATGCAGCAGGAGTCCTGCGACGGGAACTCCACGCCGAGAAGGGGACTTTAATGCTTGTTCCCCGAGAACAGAGGCGGAGTTCAGGCTGGGAGATGGAGCAGCAAAGCCAACTCCACTTCCAGAAACGCACTTGCTGAAAACGATCTCGGACGCTCGCTCTCTAAAATAAGGAAAGCGAGGTCTTGGTCCGTTCCCGTCACAGAAAACCGTGCTGTAACGGACGTGGGAAGCACGCAGCACCCGGCATCCACGCGCACGGCCCCTCGTGAAACTGTCCGCAGCACAACCATATTTCCCAAGGTACTCAGTGCTGCTTTGAAAACGCAGAACAGAAAAGCAAAAATACCGCCGAAACGCCAACAGTTGCTTTTCTCTGAGCTATAGGACTAGAGGAAATGCTTATGTTTTTCTTTATGCTTTTCTGTATTTTCCAAATTATAACAGCACATTAGTTCTCATTTCAGGAGTAGGGGGTGGGGAGCACTACTACATATTTTAATTAAAAAAGGGGGGGGGGAGTAAAGAAAAGGGGAAGGAAGAAAGAGCCCCCGAGTGAGGAGAGGCCCCGTGTCTATTCCCAGCATTCCTGGGGGCTCGCTCCACCCAGGGGAACACAGGGCAGAGATGGGAATGGCAGCAGGTGGACAGCACAGGCCCCACAGCAGTCAGGGGACCCTCAAAGCCCAAGAGGGGAATTCTTCACTGCTCTGCTCCTTTAAGATTTACACATGCATTTATTTGAAAGGCAAAGAGAACTCGATCTTCCACCTGCTCCCCAGAGGGCTGCAACAGCCAGGGATGGACCAGGCCAAAGCCAGGAGCCAGGAACTCCATCTAGGTCTCTCCCCAGGGTGGCAGGGACCTCTAAGGAGATGGGCTGTCAATGGCTGCACGTCCAGGTGTGCTAGCAGGAAGCTGGATGAGAAGCAGAGCAGCGGTGACTCTAACTAGCACTCCAGTATGGGATGCAGGTGGCTCAAGTGGCAACTGAACCCACGCACCACAACGCTCACCTAGGAGCTCTCCCTTCTCACAACCTCCACGTGGGACGCCGCTGGGGTCGGCTCGGGCCTGCGCTGGGCAAGGCTGGCTATGGGACAGGATGCGCCCGTGCTGTGTGTAATAGGAGCCGCTCCCTGGGGCTGCGGGAGCAGAGCCCACTGGGGAGGGCACAGAGGGGCTGGTCCCTCCCAGCTCTGTGAGCTGACTCCAGCCCCATGGGTGGACCGAGAAAGGAGGGAGGTGAAATGCTGGAATAGCATTTGAGGGAGGTGCTCCGAGGGGCCCAAGTGACAGAGCAAGGCCCAGACTGGAGAGGGACACCCTCCCCATGTCCCTGAGGCCACCACGACACCCTCCACAGAGAGGAGCAGGCTTCACAGTGGCAGGAGCGAATCAGGTGCTGGGATGAGAGTGGGACCATCCCAAGTAGACAGGTGTTCACGGGGAAGCTGGGGGGAGGGGAAGGAGGACAGAGGGGGTGGGAGGAAGTCCTCCAACACTGCAGAGGGGACTCCTGACTCACGAAACCCAGAAACTGCAATTAAGGTAATGACTGTGCCCAGAGACTGGCATGGTGTAGGGGCACCTGGTCACCTCTGCCTTCCTTCCTTCTGCCCCTGGGGACGCATCCCACAGGCCCTCGGGCTTCAAGGACACCTGGCCCCACCCCACGCTTCAGATGGGCTCAGCTGGTCTAAGGGACCCAGGGAGCGAGGACGTGTAAACAGGAAGCTCTCCAGCAAACACACAGTCCAAGGTCCCAGAACATTCAGGCCACGAGGGGGACCGGGCCATGCCACAGCAAGGGGGAAGCAGGCGGGGCTGCCACACGCCATGGCGTCCCACATCTCCCGGGCAGGATGGGTGGCACATCTGCCTGCAAAGATGCTGGCACTCAGAGCTGGGAGGATCTCGAGAGATAGGACCATGGAACCGAAGCGCAGCATAGCTAACGCCAAACCAGCAGCACCATGGCTCAGGACATGTGCCGCAGGCACAGCACAGAGACCCAGGGACTAGGAGGCCAGAGTCCCACGGTCGCCCTGGAAATCGGCTCCTGGTGGTCTTGTCACCCGAGGGCTCCCCTCCTCCCCATGCTCTTCTGCAGGGGTCCTCGGAGGGTGGCCTTGCTGAGGGCAGGCCCGGAACTACACAAAGCCCTTGCTCAACTGCCAGGAGCTGCGCGCTGGAAGGCACTGGGGCAGCCAGGACGGCTGCTTGGCAGCTGGGCAGGGACACAGGCCTGCTCTTGGCCGTGCCAGAGAGGCTGGGCCTGCAGCAGGCGCTGTTTTAACTTAATACGCCACTTTTCTCCAAGCTCTGCCTGGCTCCTCCTGTGTCTGCCTCCAGCATGGGGCTCCCCACACCCCAACAGGCTACTGTTTGATTTCCACAGACCACACAGGGGGCAGTGCCCACTGTAGGCAATCCAGCCACAGGGGCTTGGCAACAGTGGACACAGCGGGGTTCCTAGTAGCCACCCCGTGCTTAGCCCAGTGCAGGGGAGGTAAGGGGCAAAACCAAAGTCTTGGGGCCTTGTGAATTCTGCTGACATTTGGCACAGTTTGCTGTGACCTCCCCGGAGGCCAAGAGGGCCCCATTTTGCACAGGATGGATTAGGATGGAAGTTTGCTGGGCTGGATTCTGAGCTGCGTTCCTGCTCGGCCGGGACCCGGCTTGGTGCAGTGAGGCCTTCACGGAAGCCAGAGGCCGGCTGGCCTGCAGGGAGCCTCCTGCGTCCACACCTCAGCCCTCTGCCCCTGGAATCTGCCCCTCTGGCTTCCCTGGGGCCTCGCTGGGCTCTGGAGGTCATGAGAGCAACCCACCTTGTACACGTTATTTCCTTGTTTTCACAAGCCTCAGGAGGCTAGGTTTAGATGAGCAACACTGAGACTCAGAGAAGGTCAGCCCAACTCCCTCTGAGCAGGGGTTCAAGCCTGGATCTCTGTGGCCCCCAAACCCACAGCCTCCCCAAGGGCTCGCCTGCCCTCCTTGCTCTGTTGCCTGGGGGCACAGTCCTGTGGCTGGGGCTCCATGAAAACCACAACTCCCAGGCCCCTGACCTGGGCGGTGAGTCCTAGCTTGGACCAGGGCCAGTCAGAGAGGTGCAGGGAACCACCCGTGGCTCCGCCCGTCAGGTGAGTCAGCTCGCCATTTTCCGAGTGGGGCCCCACTCCACTCCCCGACTTCCGCTTCTAGAAAGAATGACCAAGCCGCCGCCGTGTGAAGCCTTTGCAGTCAGTTACTCAGCCCACAGCACCCGCGGCACACGACTGCCTGCATGGTCACCTTAACTACATCAATCTTTCTCGCCAGCCTCAGCTTTTCACTTCGGCCCAATGCCCACACCTCTGAAACGTTCCCAGCTTTCGGGACACTGCGTAACCGGAGTGAGCCCCAGCCTCCCAATCCCCACACTGGCACCCTGCCCTCCCCAAGCCTGGACTGGGGCTTTCTCCCTCGGGAGGCTCCTCACTTGTTCGAGGCGCCAAAGGCAGTTTCTCGAATGCCCTGCAGGACCTCCAGCTGTGCAGGTGTCCTCAGGGCACCCAGCCTGCCCCTGCGGACGGCCTTCTGCCCAGGCCCCACACATCCCCAACCAAGCAGCCCAGGGCTGCTGAGGCAGACAAGATCAAGCCCAGCACCGCCCCGGGAGGGACTCCCAGCCCGCCATGCCAGGAAGCTTTTCCCTTGAGCACCCCAGGAAGTGGGGAAGCACAGGGTCCCAGGGCACGGCCAGCACCCCTCACCAGCCCTCTCGTGCTTCCCAGCACCCAGCTGAGCTCTCCACAGGGGGAGACCAAGGCATCCAGTTCTAGGCGTGGGCCTGGGAGCAGCGGCAGAACTCTGAGGGCTCCAAGCGACAGAAGTCCATATTCCGGGGTCAGCAGGCGGCTCTGGCAGTGACCCGAACTGTGGATGAGCCACTGAGCCCTCTTCTCTTCTGCTCCTCCTGTCACCCATTCCTTCCAGAGCTCAGCCCCAACCCCTTCTGACTGGGCCTCAAGACGGAAGCCCTTCAGCCTGTGGCTCCCTCACGCTGGTGCAGGGCAAACCTGGCCACCTTCAAAGCAAAGACTACCCAACACACCCCCCAGCAAGCAGGATAAATGTGAACCGAAGGAGCCACAGCCCCGAAGGCAATCCCAGGCCTGGGCTCTGGCTCTCATGACCCCCAGAGCCCAGCGAGGCCCCAGGGAAGCCAGAGGGGCAGATTCCAGGGGCAGAGGGCTGAGGTGTGGACGCAGGAGGCTCCCTGCAGGCCAGCCGGCCTCTGGCTTCCGCGAAGGCCTCACTGCGCCAAGCCGGGTCCCGGCCGAGCAGGAACGCAGCTCAGAGTCCAGCCCAGCCTCACTGAGGCAGACCTTGCGTGCTAACAAGATGCGCGGGGCTTCTAGGGAGAAGCCAAGGGTGAGGCCTGAGTGGAAAGTCTCCCCAGGGGCCTCGTCCCCGGCCATTCTCAGCCTTTGGGGGCTCCACCAGGCTCTGAAGCCTTCAGCGGCTCACGAGGGAACTGCACTGCCTCTGGCCACTTCCTCATCCACTGCCTGCCCCCAGCAAGGTGCACAGCGCCTTCCCCCACCAAGGGAGCCTCCTGCCAGGCAGGGACCCCTTCTCAGTTCCACACCTGCCATACAGGGGCAACAACCAGAAAGCAGATGTGGCTCCCGACCAGGCAGGGTCACTTGCCAGTCCCTCCAGCACGTGAGCAAACGCCTGGATTTCCAGGGAGCAGAGGGCGGTCCAGGTCACACATGAACGCCCTGCCCCAGAAAGGAGCTTTGCTCCTCTGCCTCCCGAGCCTGGGGACTCTGGGGTCGGGGGCTGAAGGAGGCACGCTCCAAGCCACACTTGACGGCAGGATCACCTATTTTCCTCAATGATAAGCGTGTAAGCTCCAGGATTGGAGGCTGCTGCTCTGGGCCACAGGGGCTGTGGTGGGAGGTAAGGAGGCCGCACCAGTGGAGGCCTGTCCTCTGCTTCCGGGGGATTTTGGTGGCAGGACCTGGGGAGCCGCCAGTCTGAAGGCTGTGGTGGGTGGCCTGGCCTCCACTGTGCCCCGAGTACCCGAGGCCATGTGATGCTGACGGTGTTGCCAGGACAGGTCTCGAGGCTGCAACCAGGCTCTTGGGAACGAACGAGTGGCCACTTAAAACACATTAGATCCCCAGGACAGAAACCAGAGCACTATAAATTTCTTCTGAGGTTCATTTTCCCAAAGAAATCCTAACCACAACTGCCAAGCAGTCTGGGAGGGCTTGAGGAGAGATATAGTCAGCAGTGCAGGGGCCAGTGCTATGGCGTAGTGGGTTAAAGCCCTGGCCTGAAGTGCCAGCATCCCATATTGGCACCGGTTCTAGTCCCAGCTGCTCCTATTCCAATCCAGCTCTCTGCTATGCCCTGGGAAAGCAGTAGAGGATGGCCCAAGTCCTTGGGCCCCTGCACCCACGTGGGAGACCCGGAAGAAGTTCCTGGCTCCTGATTTCTGATCAGCTTAGCTCTGGCCGTTGCAGCCATCTGGGGAGTGAACCAGCAGATGGAAGACCTCTCTCTTTGTCTCTACCTCTCTAACTCTGTCTTTCAAATAAATAAAATAAATCTTTAAAAAACATTAAAAGAATTTTAAAAAGTCAGCAGTGCAGGAAAAAGCTAGAAGAATGTAAAAGCCACGTTCTCCTGCCACACTGTCCACAAGACAGCCCCAGGTGAGGCCCACCCAATCCAGAGCAACACCACAGCTGCAGAGGCTGGGGAACGTGGAACGGACACGCTGGACGTACAGTGACGAGGGAAGAAGGGTGTGAGTCAGCAAAGTCATGGTCACGAACGAAACTGCAGCCTAGGACGAGCCAAAATACACGCTCCCAGGGGCTTCACCTGGTGCCGGGCAGCCGACGGGTGGTGGTGATGGTGGGGGTGACTGGCTATATTTTCAAAGACTGAGGTGAGCGAGGAGCCATACAAGGACCATGAGCCCTGACTGCATGCCCAGTCCGAGAGCTCTTCAGGAACGGCTGGTGGGAATGAGACGTGAGAAGTGGATTCAGGCAGTCTGGAGCCTGGGTCACCACAGCAAACTCTAGAGCTGGGATGGAACCCAGGTCCACGCTATGCCACCTCCCACTGCCTCCCCTGACCTCACCCGGCTCACCACACAGGACGCAGGACCGGCTGAGCCGGCTGCCCTGCTGCGCCCGGACGGGTGGTGGTGATGGTGGGGGTGACTGGCTATATTTTCAAAGACTGAGGTGAGCGAGGAGCCATACAAGGACCATGAGCCCTGACTGCACGCCCAGTCCGAGAGCTCTTCAGGAATGGCTGGTGGGAATGAGACGTGAGAAGTGGATTCAGGCAGTCTGGAGCCTGGGTCACCACAGCAAACTCTAGAGCCAGAATGGAACCCAGGTCCACGCTATGCCACCTCCCACTGCCTCCCCTGACCTCACCCGGCTCACCACACAGGACGCAGGACCGGCTGAGCCGGCTGCCCTGCTGCGCCCGGAAGCCCACTCCACCGCCCAGGGTTGCGCCTGGAGCTACACTTTCAGTACAGCAGTCAACAAAATCACTCTGCTCTCTTCCGCCTGTCCTCCCCCAGGCTGAGGAGCCGGCGAGCAGGAAGCAGAGGCAGCCAAGGGCTGGGTAAGCCCAGCGGCCGGCAGCTAGTGAGGGCTGTGGCAGCGGCTCCCAGCCACTCAGACTCAGAAGCCCGAGCCACGCGGCTCGGGACCTGTGGAGGAGCCTGCTGGGTCACGCCCTCAAAGGAAAGTGTGTCAAACAACGGGGGCCAGAGCCTGGGGAACAAGCTGGAGAGCAAAGACCATGCAACAGTCGTCAGGAACCAGCCAGGGGCCAGCCCTGTGCTGGGTCCCAGCAGGGGAAGTGACCCAGGCGCAGTGCCCGTCCTGGAGGAGCTTGTGGTTAAGATGCCGACATCCTTTGGGAACTGGGGTTCGGCTGGGGTCAGCTCCCAGCTCTGGCTCCAGACTCCACCCTCCTCACAATGCAGACCCTAGAGGCAGGGTCGAGTAACCAGGTGCAAGACCTGGGTTGGGCTTCCAGCTCCCAGCTTCCATGTGGCCCCATCCCAACCACTGCAGATACCTGGGGCATGTACCAGTGGGTAGGGGAGCTGGCTCTCACTCTCTCACATAAATAAACCAAAGTTTTATAAAGACCACAGCGCACAGGACATACACTGCAGTAGACTGATGACTCTCATCGCCCTGATTCTGACTCCTTCCCAATATCCTGGCTCTTCACCATGGAACTCTCTAGAACCTCCTACCGCCCATCTCCGGGCTCCTGCTTTTTCCCTGGTGCTTCTGTCCTCTGGCATTGCCATGAGCAGGAAACGTGTGGCCAGCTCGTTCCCCAGAAGGCAGAGATGAGTCACTTCAGGGTCCCCAGGCGGGTCAGGTTAGCACAGCTGAACCCCAGACATGGAGCCAGGCCATGGGCAGCAGAGCTGACTGGGCAACAAATGCAGGTAGCTGCCCTGCCAGTGGGGCCGGGGGCTGTTCACTACAGAGCACTACTGGGGCAACAGGCGATCGGTACAACACAGCGCTCCCCATGTGTCCAACACACACATTCCGATTTCACTTCAAAACACTGTTTTAACACATCGCCAACTGGGCAAACTACATACCTTCTGTACAGGTTTTCTACAAAAATGTATTTTGCACTGTGAATCGACCTCTCCATCAACCGTACAGGTGCCGTCTAAAGGAAAAGAAGCAGCAATTCACTAACCGGCAAAGAGGAGCAGGGTCAGCAAGCCTGGAAAAACACCTGTCTCATACACTCTCTCTCTCACACACACACACACACACACACCCCGCCAGGGTCTGCTGAATGCAAGAATAAGCATCTGACATTAGGGGCGGGCCGTGCGCCTCCCGCACCCTGCCCCGCCCCACGCTCTGAAGCCGCGCAGACAGCGCAGCGGTGGGGCAGGCTTGCAGCCTCTATCCTGGGAGAGGCGCGGAGAAACCTGCCTCTGCTGTCCCTGCGGGGCTCGGTGTGGTGAGATCACAGCACCACGTGGTTGGATCTGCCCAAGCGGAGGGATCTGTGTGCCCGAGGGGGAGCCCCGAGTGCCGCGGGGCTTCACCTACAGACCGGGCACCTGACCTCATACTGCCACGGGACCCGCGAATCAGGGGCAGGCTCCACGCTGTAACCCGGGCATTACTCGTCTTCCTGTCCCTCTATCCTCTGCGCACCTGAATTCCTTTCCATGTCCACTCCATACGCAGGATCCTGAAGCCCACCTCTGCCCAGCTCCCCCATTTAGCTGCCTCTCCCTCCCTGCCCCTTGCCTCGTCTGTCCATCTCTTTCCACCTCTGCCTCCTCGGTGGCAGGTTTCCACTCGTGACCCCGACATTCAGACATTATCAGCTACAGGCTGGGTTCACAGGTGAGCACCCAATCAGGAAAGACATGACTTCAGGTTACTGAGACAGGCATCTGGTGAGACAAATTCAATTCACCAAAACGGTTCTCGCACCTTTCAATCCTGAAAGACACCGATTTGCAGGTACCCAGACCCACAAGGAATGGCCCAGCTCAGCGGCTGTGCCAGTGTACAGAGATCCTAGCCCCTTCACGGAGGGCCCCTACTGCAGTGTCTTTGCTGCACTTACAGCTTAAACCCACAGGTGCCCTCTGGAGCTCCCCAGCCGCCCTTTCTTCTAAGAGACTCTGTCCCCAGTCACAGCCCTGCTGATGGAAGGGGTCCATGAAGTCACATCTGTGCCCTGGGCTCCTGCCCCCAACACCTGGTGGAACCAGGGCTGGACACCTGACTCAGGCTGAACCTACCAGATTCTCTCAAGAAAATGAACCGGGGCTGGCGCTGTGGTGTAGTAGGCTAAGCCTCTGCCTGTGGCACTGGTATCCCATAGGGGTGCTGACCTATGTCCTTGTTGCTCTTGTTCTGATCCAGCTCTCTGCTTATGGCCTGGGAAAGCAGTGGAAGACAGCCCAAGGGCTTGGGCCTCTGAACCCGCATGGCAGACCTGAAAGAAGCTCCTGGCTTCTGGCCTTGGATTGGCCCTGCTCTGGCCATCACAGCCATTTGGGGAGTGAACCAATGGATGGAAGATCTTTCTGTCTCTCCCTTTGTCTGTAACTCTACCTCTCAGAAAGAAAAAAAAAAAAATATGAACTAAGAGCCAGACGCCATGAAGACTAGATGGGTGGTCCTCGGACAGGCAAACAGAGTTGCACTCACGTGCCCTGGAGGCTATGATGTAACACAGACTGCTGGGCCCCATCCACGGAGCTCCCGACTTAGCAGGTGTGGGATGAAGCCAGGCAGGGAGCATGCCTACAAGCTCCCAAGTGACGGTGCTGCGGGTCCAGGGACCACACGTGCAGAACAGAGCTGAAGGATGTTCAGCCCAGCAGCAGCAACTGCGTCAGGACGACACGGGCACAGAGTGGCTGAGGGCGGGGCGGGGGAGGGGCGGGGCTGGAAGCTGCAGCACAGGGGGCCCAGGCCGCACGGACAAGGCTGCACAGCGCTGAAGCCCTGCGGGGCTTCCTGGTGAGTGTCCCTTCCTGGCAACCACGTTCCCCGAGTTAGAGGATTTGAGGAAGGCTGCAGCCCAGCACCTGACACACACCTGTGGGCGTGTGTGCTGCTCCAGCATGGTGAGCTGCACGTACGTCTGCAGTGTGAGGCCCCATCGCCAGGCGTCGCGGTACATCAGGCCCTGCAACAGGAGAAGGCAGCTGTGTGACGCTGGCCTCGCCAGCCCCGCAGTCATCTCAAGGAACCTTACACGAGGCTGGGCTGGGGCCCGAGATGGCCACAGCATGGTCCTGGAGCCCTCAGTAGAAGGCAGGTAAACTAGAAGAATGTACAACCGCCCAGGAACAGCTGTACTCACACTGGGAACATGCATCATCCGGTCATTGAATAAATATTCCCCGAGCCCCCATGGCCTGTTCTCTGTCCAGCAGCCCACACGAGCCAGCTGGACCTATATTCAGTTCTGGTCACGCCCCTGCCCGCACCACCCAGGGCCTCCACACTGAAGCCTGGAGGAGGGCCAGACGTCATGGCGTGCAGGGCTCCGCAGAGCCGCGTCCATCCTCTCGCATCTCCCACTGTTCTCTCCCGTAGCCCCGTCGGCTTCCATCCGTGTGGGCTTCCTTAGTGTTCCCCAAACACGCTGAGCGTGCCTCCCCTCAGTGCCTTCGCATCTTCCTTGTGTTCAGCCTCTGCTCAAGCGTCACGCTGTTGGAGACGCATTCCCTTGCTAGCCTGTTGGAACAGAAGCCCACCCACGCCCCACCCACTCTCGATGGCTAAGCTCCAAAGCCCGTCACTAACACTTATTCCACACCTGCTCCTCTCCGCACGTGCTCTCCATTCTCCTCTTGTTGCAAACTAAAGGAGCCCCGGTGCTCTCACTGAGCACACGCCTCTGCAAGGCTAGGCACACGCTGCCTCCTGCCAAGCAGTGACAGCCGGAGCCCTTCCTGCACCAGAAAACCAGCCAGAGGAAGGCAGAACGAGCACTTTCCACAAAGCTTCCGTTCTGTTCTTCTGTCGGGAGCGCACACCTGTGCAAACAACCACCCGTTCTGGTGCATTCTGTTAGAAAACGCCATCAGCACCAAGCACGCTCGTGCTTCCAAGACAGGGTTCTGTCCTGTGCCATGGTCAGCAACACCGACTGCTGGAGAAACACAGACGGCCCGAGCTTTCCTCAGCCCAGAGGTGGCGGTCACTCCGGCCGCTCCCACGTGCACACGGTTCTTTTCATCGCCATGGGACTCTTTACACAAAGACTCTGCGAGCTTCTGCCTTATTTTCGCTTCCCACCTCCCATCACCACCCACTCTATCGTCTTCTGTCTCCCCACGCTGGGATCTCAGGACCAGGACAACAGCAGCTTTCAACTGATCACAGCATCTGCCACACGGTAGGTGTGCAAAGGTGGCTGAACGAACGAATGAATGAAGGAGCGAGCGTCCGCCAGGGGCGGGGGCGTCAGTGCGCCTTCCCTCTGTTCTAGCAGACGGGGGTGAATCAAATGCCCCAGCCAAACCACACACAGAGGTGCCAGTTGTGTTGCTAAAAATAAGGGGGCAGCTCCCGCTTCCAAGTCCCAAGTTCACACCTAGATCCATCATTTACCTGTTGTGTGACCTTGGGCAATGTGAAAAATGAGACCAATTGTCCCTAGGCCATGGGAGCCCACAGCCAACATGGCTTTCTCAAGCTGTCTCCAGCAGGGCCCAGAGTCTACCCATCCCTTTCAAGCAGCCAGAGCAGAGCCCTCTAGATGGGGAAGGAGGAAGGGCCGTGTGCACATCAGCGCCCTGGCTTCAGCAAGCAGGCAGGTAGCACCTGGTACTGAACAGTGCCAAGTGCAAACCCCACTCAGGGCTGCACCAGACCCTGGTGGCTTAGTCAGGTCCCAGGGGGCTGATCCTGATGGGTGTCTTCAAGAACGGCATGGGGGTGCAATGAGCAGCAGGAGACGGATACCCTGGCAGCCGGGGGCACCCACCTGGGAGAGCATCTGCAGAGGGCCCCGGGCTCTGTGCACACCCACTCAGGCCTTGGAGATCCTGGACCTCAGGACACCAACATACTGCGGTTTTCTGCCCATGCCTCTGCCTTCTCCTCCAAGTCAGCTGAGAGTGAGGGAGAAGGCCCCAGCACATTCCCCAGAGCTGAAGGGGAAGCTGGGGCTTCGTGCCAGGAACAACCACTCACCAGAGGATTGTGGCCACGCACATTTCTCCACTTGGACACCGGCTCCATTAACACCTGCAAGGCAAGAAGACACCAGAGTGCTGCTGTCCCTCCATTCTGAGCCCTGTGACATCGTGCAAGCATTGACAAGAGGGAGAAAGGGAGAGAGAAGACAGAGAAAGGGACTAGCAGCATTCAGCTGCCTCAGGCAGGCCAAAAGAGCCATGAGGCCACAACTCCACCCAGATGTGGTCTCTTTATGTAACTGCCAGAAATGACCATAGAAACACTACCCAACCCTAGGGCTGGCGTTGTGGCACAGTGGGTAAAGCCACTGCCTGTGATGCTGGCATCCCATATGGGCACCGGTTTGTGGCCTGGCTGCTTCACTTACAATCCAGCTCCCTGTTAATGTGCCTGGGAAAGTAGCAGACAATGGACCAAATGCCTGGGTCCTTGCATCTATTTGGGAGACCCAGATGAAGTGTCTGGCTCCTGGCTTCAGCCCTGGCCCAGGCCATCTGGGGAGTGAATCAGTGGAAGGGATTATCGCCCTCTTTCTCTCTCTCTAACTCTGCCTTTCAAATGAATAAATAAATCTTAAAAAAAAAAAAAAAAAAAAAAAAGGAAAGGAAACACTATCCATCCCTGATTCCAAGAACAGACACCTCCCACCTCTCTGGCTACACTGGCCCTCCAAGGTCAAGGCTGGCTCTCCCCATTCCTCCTCCACAGGTGGGGCAGGCAGGAAGGAGGAGCCAGGAGGGGAAGCCAGATAGGTCCAGGTCTGCCGTCCCACTTCCCCACCTGGCAGCTCACCTGTGATGGCGGCAGGCTGCTTGTCTCTGTCTCCTCCCGGCCATCTCCACTCGGGTTTCTCTGGTATACTCCCTGTCTTGGGGGATGTCCTTCCCTGGAGTCCCGTCTGTGCCTCTCAGATGACTGTGTATCCTGAGACACACAGCAGGTTTTCTGCTGGGCATTCCTCCGTTTGCTGTCTAGAAACTCAGGGCTGGGCCAACCCCAGACCATGGAAGAGCCTTTCTGGGTGCGCAGCTGTGTTCCGGGAAAGATTTAGATGGTGCTCCTGGGACCAAGATTTTGAGAATGCCTAGATCCATCTGGGGACTTTCAGAGTGCCTATGAGCAGGACCAGAGGTGACAGAAGACCAAAGGAAGCTAAGACATAGGACACTGAGGACTAACCCCCCACCCTTCACACTCTGTGCCTTTGCTCACTGTCCCCCCTTTTTTAAGAAAAAAAATATATTTTAAAGATTTATTTATTTATTTATTTATTTGAAAGTCAGAGGTACACAGAGAGAGGAGAGGCAGAGAGAGAGAGAGGTCTTCCATCTGAGGGTTCACTCCCCAATTGGCCGCAATGGCTGGAGCTATACCTGATCTGAAGCCAGGAGCCAGGAGCTTCCTCCAGGTTTCCCACGTGGGTGCAGGGGCCCAAGGACTTGGGCCATCCTCCACTGCTTTCCCAGGCCATAGCAGAGAGCTGGATCAGAAGTGGAGCAGCTGGGACCAGAACCGGCGCCCATATGAGACACCGGCGCCTCAAGCCAGGGCGTTAACCAGCTGTGCCACAGCGCCAGCCCCAGATATATATATATTTTAAAAGACAGTTATAGAGAGGGATAGACAGAAACAGAGAGATCTTCTATCAGCTGGTTCACTCTCCAGATGGCTGCAACAGCCAGGGCTGAGCAAGGCCTGAGGCAGCCCAAAGCCAGGAGCCAGGAGCTTCATCCGGGTCTCCTACATGGGTACAGGGGTACAAGGACTTGGGCCATCCTCCACTGCTTTCCCAGGCCACTAGCAGAGCTGGACCGAAAGTAAAACAGCCAGGACGTGAGCCGGTGCCCAGGTGGGACACAGGTGTTCCAGGCAGCAGCCTCACCCTCTGCGCCACGACACTGACCCCTGCTCATCGCTCCTCCTGCCTAACACGGGCATTCCACCCCACTTCATGTCATTACATCACTTCACTTCCCATATATGGGCCACTCCCAGATATCCTTCAAAATCCAGTTCCAAAGCCCTTCCTCTGTGGCTCATTCCCCGGCCCCCAAACCTTCCATCCTTCTTCAGGGTCCTCAGCACTCTCTCTCCAGCCCCTGTGTACCACCATGCCTGCCAGAGGCCAGGCTCGCTGGCCCCAGCTCAGGGCTGGGTCCCTAGCACGTGCTCCACCTGTAGCACTGTCACTAGAGAGATACTTACTGAGCCACGCTGGACACTTGGGTTGCACGAAAGCCAATGGCTCCCAAGCCCCTCCTCCATGGAACTTTAAGCCCACAAGGGGAGGAAGACACTAACTGGAGGTTCAGAGAAATCAACAGCTAACTTCACACCCTGAGAGGTGCAGAAGGACCAGAAGAATCTCCATCAGGGAGGAGACCCCAGCTGGGGAAGACAGAGAACACTGAGCTGAACCCTGACGGGTGAGTGGTCCTCCTACAGCTGACCGAGCTCTTCATGCCACAGAGGAACCACGCAAGGGCACAGCTCCCAGAGCCAGACAGCCTGCGTGGGGCCGGGCTTCACTGCGCACTCCCCCTGAGCGTTAGGGTTCTCCAGAGGGACAGAAACAACAGCATAGAGGGCTAAGTGAGAGGGGACTTGTTAGGGAACTGACTCACGCAATCAGAGAGGCTGAGAAGGCCTCCAGCAGCTGGAGACCCTGGACTGCTGGTGGTGTGGCTTGGCCCAAGTGCAGAAGCCTCAGGACCACGGATACCAATGGTACAGTGTTCAGCACAGGGTCAGAGTCCTGAGAACCCAGGCGGCTGCTAAGTCCTCTAGTCCTGAGGCCGGGGCTTGGAGTTTTGACGTCAAAAGCAGGAGGAGGAGAGGGTCCCCGTCCCAGGGGAGGGAAGGGGGGAAATCTTTCTCTCCTCTTTGGTTCTATCTGGGCCTCCAGCCAAGGCATGGTGCAGCCCACACCGAGGACAGGTCCTCCCCACTCAATCCACTGACTCACATGATGCCAACCTCCCCGGAAACACCCTCACAGACATGCCCACAAGGGATGCTCTGCCAGTTCCCTGGGCAAACTAGTGCCCTTTCCAGGGCAAGCCGTTCTGGTTCCCTGCTCAGAACTGCACGCACATGAACTTCTCGTTTATGAGATTTTTCTGTTTAGTACTTTGGGCCACAAAACCACAGATGGGGAAGACTACTACATCCTTAATTCAGTCCATCTGACACCTAAAATTAACCAGAATCCCTTGTGAGCCTGGGTAAGCCATTGAACCCACTGAGCCTTGGTTTCCCCACCTGCAGCTAAGCTGGGAACAGCACCTACCTCAAAGGGCTTCAGGACGGGGTCCACAAGATGACGTGGTGAGCCCCATACCTGGCAAACAGTATCATACTCAGGAGATGTTCCCTGTCGTCTTATTATCACTGCTGTTGTCATCGGTGGGCTCCCAGGTCTTCAATGAGAAGATAGGCCCCCCCAAAGAGCCACCGAGAGTCCCACCTTGCAGGACAGGTTTGATGCTCCACAAGGAGGACTCGCAGCACACCACACAGTTGTGCTCACAGCTACGATTTATTATGGTGACAAAGTCGGACAAAGCTCAAGGGGCAGTCTGGAGGGAACCAGGTGCAAGCTTCCAAAGGCCTCTCCCAGTGGAGCCACACAGGACACACTCAGTTCTCCCAGCAAGCTGTGCGATATGAGAGAGAGGCAGCCTCCCGGGGAAGCTGGCTGGAGCCTGGAGATTCAGGGTTCTCACGAGTGCTCAGTCACATGAGGGGAGCCACCACCTCATGCGTATCCAAATTCCGAACTCCCAGGAAGAACACAAGTGCTCGGCCCCCACTGTCTGCACCATCAGGGGAAGCACAGAGTTCCTCTGATCAGTCAGGAATGGTGGGATCCTCACAGCCAGGCGCCCGCCTTGCCAGCAGGCCTTTCCCAGGGCAGCCTGCTCAGGCCTCTGGGCTGACTCTTTTCTACAGGCAGCGCACAAAGACCACAAGACGACTCCTCTCCTACCAAGCCCGTGTGTGCTTAATAGAAGTGCAAACAAGAAAAGCAGGAAAGATGGGAAGACAATGCTTTAGAGTATGGAAATTATAGGATCTGTAGTCAACAACAAAAAGCCACACATAGCAAAGATTACATCACTGAAATCGAGAACAGGGAGGACAGGTCTGGCTCCCAGTGCAGCAAACACTGCTACAAGTCTGTGGGGTTATTTTAGTGACAGAGCTTGAAGTGGACTGTCCCTTGCTGGGCCACTGACGTCTCAGATGCCAGCAGTAAGAGTCCAGCCTTGCTCCGTAGCCCAACTTCTCTTCTTTCACACACAGACCCTTTCCTGACCAGAGTACAGGGGAAGTCTGACCTCCACTGCCCAACACAGTGGTCCTGAGTCACAGAGGGCTATTAAGACCTTGAAATGTGACCAGTCCAAATCAGGATATGCTCTGAGTGTAAAATACACTCAATTCAAAGAGTGAGAATGAAAAAGAGAATGCAAAATAGCCCACTGCTGGTTTCTCTTATTTATCAATTTCAGAGAGAGAGGGACAGAGGCAGAAACAGGCAGATGTGCCCACAATGGTCTGGGCTGAGCCAGGAAGAAGCCAGCATCCAGGAATCTAATCGATATCTTCCCCATGGTGGCAGGGACCCAGCTACATGAGCCATGGCCTGCTGCCTCCAGGGTGCCCACTGGCAGGAAGCTAGAATTGGAAGTGGAGCCAGGACCTGAACCCAGGCACAACAACATGGGATGGTGGCTTCTCAACTGCTAGCACAAACAGCTTCCCCCACTGATGACTTCTGCATTGAGTACATGTCGACGTGATAACATCAGGGCATGCTGTGTTCAATAAAATATTCTTTTTGCTTTTTTTCATGAGGCTATTAGAAACGCTAAATTATGTATGTGCTTGCACTTGTGGCTCGCAAAAAACTTCTGTATCATCTAGGGCTGGTCTACATCCTCTCTAAATTATTCCACTGTGTTTGCTCAGGTCCCTCTGCACCCAGTGTGGAGGCCATACCTCGACGTCGGTCGTGCTGGAGAAGAATTCCAGGCAAGTCGTCTTCCCGCTGGCAATGTTGCCCTCCACACAGACCTGCCAAAGACAAATGGGCGTTTACAGGCAGAAACCAGGCACCAAGGGGACAGCAGGGAACGGCTTCCAAGGGAGGGCTCAGGTGAATAGCACAATGGGCTCAGTGTTCAAACAAACAAACAACAGACTGATCCATGAACTGATCCAGGATCCACGGTGCCACTGTTGGCAAAACCAGACCAACTGACCCTCCCCTCCTTGGCTCAGCAGTCCCGGCAGACCTCACCCTCCATCCCAACTCCTAGACCACCCACAGCTCCATCCTCCCAAGCGCAGCCCCTCCCACTCTCCCATTTCAGGCCTAAGTGTGCAACCTCCTTAACCAGAGCCCAGTGAACAGCTCTGAGGCCAAGAGGCATGGCACGGTACCTAGACTCTAACTTGCTGCTTTGTACAGAAAAAAAGCACCCGGGCCCAGTGAAAACTGTCGGAATCCAAACAGAGTGGCTGTGACAACCCCACTAAAGATAAAGAAAGAAAGGGGCAGGCGCATCAAAGAAGGAGGTACCTTTCTCTGAAGGGAGGAGAGAACTTCCACTTGATTACGGCCTTGTCTAAATAAGGTGCAGTTGTAGATAGGTGGCCGCATGGCCCAGCTACCTGAGCCAGGCTCCACCCCCATCCTAATGGGATTCGCTGCTCCTGCTTCCCTGCCCGCCCTCAGGCAAAGTTTTAAAAGGGCCTGTTCCTGAACACATGCTCTCTTGGTCCTTCTCTCCTGTGCTCTCTTGGTCTCTCTTGGCTCTGGACTTCCTCTTTTCTCCTCTCTGCTCTATCTTCTCTCCTTGCTAGCTCCTCTCCTCTCTGTCTCTCTCTCTTACAGTCTCCCTCTCTTTTTCCTTCGCCGCCCCTTCACTCCGGTCTGTAGGGTGTTCCCCAATAAACCCTTTCCCTTACTCCGGTGTCCGGTGTGCTTTGCGACGGCTAACATTAAGTAAGATACAACACAGAGGCTGGTGTTGTGGCACAGCAGGTTAAGCCGCTGCCTGCAACACCAGCATCCCATATGAGTGCCAGTTTGAGCCTCGGCT